GGGCGGTTTCCCGCCGGGGTTCTCGGGCCCGGGAAGGAGGCGCTGACCTCGTAGGAAGGCTGAGTGACGTCACGGGTGGGAGGATGACGACATCATGCCGCTGTCGTTCGCCTCTGCGACGCCGCGGGCGGCGTTGTGCAGCCCCAACCTCCTATCGCGCCATGGCCGGGCGTCCTTGGCTGCCGGTCGGGCTGCTTCCCCCTGTCAGGGTGTCCTCCAGGGGTTACTGCCGCGGACACCGAAACGCTAAGGGAAGCCGTGCGTGTGAAACAGCACCTGCGTTCATTTAACAAATTGAAACCTATGTATTTTTGCCCTGCGCAGCTGACAGGACTCTGCGGCCTGGTTCGGTGTTTCTTCAGTGTGAGCAAACACGGTTCTGCAATAAGTGAATATTTCCAGATATGTGTGAGTTCATTGTTGTAGGCTGCACCCCCTTGCCCGAATTGTAGCCAGAAGTCATCTAGAAATTGCCCCCAAAACCAAGAGAAAGGTTTGAGCTGAAATTCCAACTGTCTTGCACTAAATCTACCTCGTAAGACTATATTTAAAAAAAGGGATGATGTCTCTGGTTTTTAAAAGCATACTAGTACCGAATTATAAAAGATGAATTAAGGACAGAAACTCCACGGTAGCTGAAGGAACCAAGAAAACGTTCAGTAGATGGCACAAAAAAAAAAAAAAGAAAAATCAAGATGCATACAAATATCTGAAGCAAAGAGCGAAATGTTCTGCCGAATACCTGAAAAGCTCTGCTGGCTGCTGCCGGGCACTCCTTTCCCCAGGGAAGGTAACCGTAGCCTAGCCCGAAGTTGGATATTTGTTCGGGGTTCCTTGGTGGTTAATTCAGTGTTCATGCAAATATATGTCTCTTCCAAGCAGGAACTGAGGAGCCTGAGCAACAGGAAACTACAGGGTGCAACAGAAGGACACGTGAGCACTGAGGGCCCAAGGCAGGCTCCTACGTGCGGCCGCTCGTCTGCGATGGAAGTAGAGGAACACCTTGCGCCTCATCTTGCTTTGGCGGGAATCAGCAGGCAGACAGCAGTACGCTTGGAGATACCTGGCTTTCCTATTGCAAGCGTTTCCCAAATTGCCTGCATCTTAAAAGCAGGCTGCTGGTGATGCATGAGTTAGGTTTTAGGGCTTTTTTCTAAATGTAGACGGCTGGCTTACCTGTTTGGCCCAATACCGTTTCTCACATTTTTCTGTCCTGGGCATCAGAAGAGATGGGGTTTGTTTTCTCCCTTCCTCTGGCTGCTAATTGCCCGTGTGACCAAGGCTAAGCACGGAGCATCACTAAGTCCCTCCAGTCTCCATCTTCAAATGGAGCAGTGACGGCTTGCCCACATCTGAGATCAGAGATCTGCAAATCCAGAGTTACCCCTTTTGAGCTTCCTGCACAGAAGTCTAAAGCCCAACCTAGACGACTGTTCCTGGACCCAGTCTGTGTTTTACATCAGAAATGAAATGAAATGCTTTTGTTTCCAGTTCCACATGGAAATAGATTACTGATCATGGGACATCTTGGTATACCAGGAATGTGTCTCATTAAAAACAGGGCTCTGTGCACAGGTAGTATTTTATGGGCATGTAGCATCCTGTGTCTTTAAAGGGCAAATACGTTTTATCTTAACTCCCATCTTAAGGAAAGCAAATATGATGTACTCTAAGGCCTGTGCTAATGAACATCTGGTAGCCATGGTCACCTGTCATGACAGACAGTAACCACTCATTTGTCCTCTGTTAAATGGACTGCAGTTAACAATTGTAATAGAAGAAAAACAAGCTTTCCTATTGCATAAACAGGTTTCAGTGTATTTTGGTTTTATTCTTTGCAGTTCTTCATCCCTCACATTTGCAACATTAGATCTAGTATCTTACCTTTCTATGAAGACCTACTTCAGCTAATGCCTGTTTCTGCCTCCTGTTAGTATTCCTGTGCTTAGATCCCTTCTTTTACTGAAGCCTCTTAAAAGGATTGTTTTTTGGCTTGACAAATGCCTAAGTAATTCCTGCTTTGGCCTTTCACATTGATATGCTGTGTTTTTATTAAGGTTAATGCTCCTCAGATGAGGTCAGCTCTATTATCGTTCTGTTACTCTGATTTTAGCCTAGTAGCACTCCCATCAAATTTCGATCATCACCAAATCCATTACATTCACAAAGCTCCAGTAATACAATTGGATTAAAGGAAAAAAACCCATAAATCCTGCTGTCATGACGAACTATTTAAAAGTCAATAACAGATTGCATCTACTGAGAGTGCTAGTAATTGATGAAGGTTGCAACAAAGCCTATGAACATCTCTTCACTGCAGATTTCAGTCAGCACTTGCATTACCTGAAATTATGGATGAAGCTGGGAGGTAACTTGAGTTATAACTAACAGAAAACAAGAATCCAGAGTCTACAATAGGTAATTAAAATAACAATGACAACCACCAAAATAAAAACTATTCCTTACTTCAATTGCAAAGAGAAAAAAAGGATTATTTTTCCCTCATAGTGGCAGCTGAGAATTTGTGGACAGTATGACATGTAAAATGTTTGTCTTCTCCCACAAAAATATATTGAAAAAAATGTTTTCTTCAGTCCAGGAAACACATACAGATATGTTTCTTGTTCTGCTCAGTAACTCCCACTTCGGACTACTTAAAGGAAAGGCTTGCCTGGTGAATAATTAATGTGACATTGGTTTTTTACCTGGATTTGCTATGTTTTGGTTAGAATTTATGTCCCTTTAATAAATAAACAGCCTGCCCACAATTCTGGAAGGAGAATGAAATAGATTGGGCACAAACAAACCTTGCCAGTGCCCTTCTGTGACCCAGCACAGACCTAGCACAGCACAAGATAGCACAGATTTAACTCTTGGGCTATAGTGAGTTTAAAGGGTGTTGTCCTGGCATACTCGCTTCCAGAAATCCAGTTTTGAATTGGGGGAGGGAGGGGTTTCCTCACCTCATATTTGGCAGATCAGACCAGAGCCATTTGGAGGGTTCTTTCCAGCTAGGCAGTGCCACAGCAACCAACACTCCCTTTTCTTGAGCGGCAAGCTGATGCCGTAAGGAGACACCATTCTGGCAGCTCAAAGGTTTTCTTGCATCTCTTTGGCTTCCCTTCTCTGTCAGTTTCCAACAGTGCAAATGTTAGCTGTTTGCAAAAGAAACCAAACTCTTCATTTTCATAGATCCCATAAATTTCCTCGAGTTGTTTCCTGCCTTTCATGCTGGTTCATATGTTGTTAAAGTGGCGTATTTTCCTCCCCTGTGTAACAGCAAGTTAGAATACAGATGCGTGAGGACATGAATAGAAGTAATACACTGCAGTTCTTTCTACACCAGCCTTTGAGCCACAGGTATTTGCAATCCAGTTTAAGCCTCTAAATTATTCACAGGTAGAGATAATTTTATACTTGTAATAGATTTATTTTCAGACATGAAAGTTCATTATATTCCTCTTTTTAAATTAGGTTACATCCATCTCAGCTCTTTCTAGCATGATACTGTACAGGTTCAAATGAATTTATTATAATAAAGAAGAATAAAGACTACACTTTAAAATGAACAGTTCTATAAAACCAAGTGACTTGAGTACACCAGTAGCTACATATAACAGACCTAAATGATCTGTCTTAAACCTTGCCCACATCTGGCTAAAGCAAGAAGTTACATAGGCCATCAAAAATTTAACATCAGATTAGCATAGTCACAAGGGCAGCAATAAAACTGCCATCTGGAGAAAGAACAGGGTTCATTTCAGTGAATACAACACTATCCCATTTTACTGAAGGCTTCTCGAACAGTATTTTTAATGAATTACCTTCCTGATTAATAGTATATGAAAGGTGAAGTATGTACGCGCTTCGGTACTTTAACTGATCAGTAACCCATCTCCCTTCCGACACTTCAGTAATTCAGCCCACTACTGTAGGTCATCACTTGCACATCAGGCATGAGGGCAGAGCATGTCGTGGGGATGGTATTTAAATATTTCATTGCAGCAATCACACGGGGAGTTCCTTAATGCATCTGTTTTGTTAGCCTATAAAAATTCTTTTCCTAAAGCAGATTAAAACAAGACTAGTGAGTACAAGGCAGGATGGGAGTCTAACTCTTTTTCCCATTGAATTAATGAGAAAATGCTAGAAAAATGCTTCACTAGAAGTAGAATTGACTGTGATTCTAGCAGGAAGAAAAAAAGTGTATTTGTTTGGCAGGTGAAATTCCAGTACATGAAGAATTGGAGGGCACCACTCAATTAATGCAGTCCATAACATGAATCTGCAGTGTGTCCAAATCAGGTAGAATTTCTTCACATTTGGGACATGAATACATTGAGATATTCCGCTGCTGTGACCAGTCTTGACTACCAGTTCCTGCAAGCAGAGAGGATAAAAGATTACCTGTTATTTTACTTGATTTTTCACTTTTTTGGTGTAATGGCTGAAATAAGCCTGGCTTGCTCATAACTGCCAGAGAATCACGCCCCCTGCAACTACCCCAACTTCTCCTTGGCTATTCTAGCAACTGAGATTTACTTGCAGCTAAGCAAAGCTATTTTAAGTTGAACACAGCGGGATCTGGCCCTTTGAACTAGGGAAGGCGCTGGCTGTACCTCTTTGGACAAGGTGAGGTGAATGTTCCCGATTTCCTGCTGCCCTGGCTCCATGGCGACTCTGCATCTCCGCCAAAGAGTTTCTGAGGAGAATAAAGAAGTGAACGGGGTAGTTACTTAAAAGGGCTCAGAAAAAGATTGAGGAGAAGGTATCTTTCCTTTTGTCTCCAGAAAAGGTCAAAGAATCAAAACTAATTAGATTTGTAAGTAGATTGTGTCAACCATCAATGCATTTAGTCCACAACTGCTGTGCAGAAACAGGGCGGAGAAATTACGCTGCTGCCTGGCAAGATATGTAGATGCCAGTGTGCTGCTGAAGTCAGATCCAAACTGGCACCAGTGGGATTTAGGCAGCTACCCACCCAGGGATCTGGGGCACAGTCCTCTGGAAAATTCCAAGGACTTGGGCTATTCAGAGCACATTGCAAATTGATTACAGTGGAAAGGCAAGTTATACAGGAAAAAAGTTCAGTGCACAGTTAACCCAAACAGTAAAGATTGATTCTTCAAGTTCTGGACACCCTTCAGTTGCACTATGTACCCATGGCTTCCACAGGATGTGTGGAGGACACACAGTTAATACTACTTTTTTTCTCTTTTACCACTAAAAGTACTAAAAAGACAAATGCCCAGGATATCACAGAACTTGACGCTACATGTGCCCACATATCACTACCACCTTGAGCCAGAAGCAGATCTCCCTGGGACACATGTAGCAAGCTTAGCTGTAGATCCACCACTAAAATTGAGGGCAGAACCTTAAGAAATGCCTCAAGTGAATTAGCAGGGAGAATTTATCAAGTATGAGTCATACAAAGTGAACTCTTGCTAGAGCAACCAAGGACTAACGTGCCTAACAGATATTCTATCACAAAATTAAAATACAGAAGTCAGTCAACTCAGTTTTTTCTCTTTTAAAATTCAAATGAACCTCAAAATAAATGTATTGAAGCCAGTCTGTTTTTCTAGGGAGATGCTAGCAGGAATATTCTGGTCAACTCTAGCACACAGGGTAACAAGACAATCTTAAGGCAGCTCAGCCAGGCAGAGCATCTCACCGGCTCAGATCATCGAGGTTCCGCTGCTCTTTTAGCAGGTATGCCAGCTGGACAGCCAACTGCTCCTTCTCCTCATGGATCTTCTCTCTTGCTGCCCTCTCGGCATGGAAATCAGAACAATAAACCTCCATCTGATCAGAAAAATTAAATCATGTTGAGAACCTGTAACTGAGATTGAACCATACCCATGTATTATATGCTAAAATAGCCAACCCGTATTATGTCCTGCATCTGCTTAATACACTCCAGCACCATCTAGAGGTTGCAGTGAAAGTGAGGACCTGCACTACATACAAGGTGAAGATTCAGCAGCTTCTGAGTTCCAATGCTCTGGTCTGGGCCAGTGCTATCGCCTTCTGGTGTACAGATGGACAGTGAGGAGGTGGCACAGACACTGCAACCAGGCCAAGATACTGGTTGTGTGTCTTAAATGGTCCTTTTCAGGCCCTTTTTAGTTACTGCTTACACACATTGTCTCAGGTTTGACTAAAATCCTTCATAAAACATATGCAGTAATTCCTAAAACAGTGGTTTTAAATATGCAAATGCATCTATTTCCTGCTTTTATTTGTTGTGCCAGGCTCCAGCATATACAGTTCCTTCCACAGAACTGTAAGATATGGTGACACAGGCTCTACAGCCATTTGCAAGGCAGACTGCATAAGGGAATTATGCCTTGGACTTCAGCTAACAGATATAAAATATTCAGTGAGCCAGCTGGTAGATAGCTCCTTCTAGTTTCTGAAGAG